AAATTATTTTCTCCATTTTTGACTTGGCTCTAAATATACTCGTGTTCTGGAACTGCATGTGAAACCCAATGCTTTCTGCCATTTGTCAATTAGTTCAAGTGGATTTCTGAAAATAGCCAACTACTGTGATCATTAAGTAGGGAACTTTCTAGTCCAATCCTGTCGTGGGTACCCTGTGCCTCCTGTCCATGCTGCCAAGGGGACACTGTGTGCTGGTCAGTCATGGCCTCTTTCTGAGCATGCCTATGACCTGGGATAGGCTCAGGTGAAGACCAAAGGCTATAGTCAGAGAGAGACAGGGTGTGAGGCAGGCTTCTGAAGAAGCATCTCCAGGCTTGGGTCCCACAGCAGGCCTTGCAGGCTCCAGAATCCTGTGAGAACCAAACACAGGAAGCCGGGAGAGTGGGGAACCCAGTTCTCCAGAAGAAATGATCTGGGTATCTATGTCCAATCACAAAGTCCACAAGGAAGTCCCTTGAGCAAGTAAGAGGTGCCGATCCAGGCTGGGGCTATGGCCGTGCGTAGCTAAATGGAAAGCACAGCATTTACAAACATGGGTAGTTGTGAGCTTTGATGGTTGCGTTGTTGTTTGTTTTAGCATTTTCTTATGGTTCATCTCTCTGTTTACTGAATAGTGTGATCTGCCAAGAGATTCCCTGATAACAGTTGCCAGGGCTAGAGGAATTTTGACACAAGCTCCCCCCCTCCCCACATAGCTCTGTAGGCTGTTGGGGCGTTTGGAAGTTAGATGCGGTCTGTAAAGACAGGTAAGGAAGATGGCAGCCTGAGCCTAATGGACAGATGTATTGGGATGGGAGTCTGAAGGCCACAGCCTACAGTGCACACACAAGCCAGATGCACGATAGTGAGCAGGAAGCACAGGCAGGAGGTGCCCCAGACCACGGCCTTGGCTAAGCAGTGGCTTCGTGGAGGTGCTGGGGGTGTGCATGGCTGGAGAGCAGCGGGGGAAATGAGGCTCATCGGAAAAACTGGGGTGGTCATTGGACTTTGCAAGTAGTGGTGGAGGTGCTCCCGTGGATTGGATTAGCTAGGCCCTAGTTCATCGATGCATGTGGAGATGTAGGAAGAAAATTAGGCCTTGAGAAGAGGGTGAATTTGGAGACAGGCAGCTGTCTGGGGCCTGGAAGGCAGGGGCGTGGCTGGCAGGATGAAGCCTGTGTGCATTCTGTTCTCTGGGCCCTGGCATAGTACCGCTGCCCTCTCCTTCCACATGTGTGCGCCTGGAGCCACTCAGGATATCGGAATCTGCCCAGCAGGACCCTTGAAGTCTGCCCAGGAAGAGCTGGTTCCCCAGGGGAAGAGGTGTGACGGCCTCACAGCTCTTCTGACCTGCATCTGGGTGAGCGGTGGAGTCACTTAAGTAGGTGTAAGACCACACACCCACGATCCTCTGCTCCGTGTCTGTGAGCAGAACATGGAACTTCTTTGATTTTAGCTGCCTCTTTGCAAGGCTGGAACCACAGGATCTTCTATAAGTGAAGTCAGCTGGCTAGTGTCCTCTTCCGGTGAGAAAGCCCCGAGCCACCTTAGCCAACAGGGAGGATTATGAACAAATGTATCCGTCTGTAAAGTGTGTAGATTCTCAGAGGATCCACATCTGGCTTCCCCCTACACTCCCGGAGAAGGATGCCCACAGTGTCTGTGGAGACCTAGAGCCCTTTGCAGCCCCAACCCTGTCACTCTTGCTGACGCAACCACACCCACAGTCTGCCTGCCCCTTCTGTAGATCTGTAAGGAAGGCCAAGGTCGCTATGAACTGTAGACGTGTTAGTAATAGACTTCCCTGTGGCTGAAGGGTTAACTGATGTGACTTAAAGAGTGGGGTGTAAAATCCAGCTACAATGTATTTCTGAATGCTGGTACATACAAACCCGAGCCACAGAAAACTGTCATCGCCCAACCTGACTTGAAAGTGGAGCAGATGTCCTCTCTCTCATTCTGAAAATCTCACCTAGCTTTCAGCCTCTCCGTTAGGTGCGGCATCAGGAGCTGCTCACGAGAGGTGCCGCTGACGCAGACCGAAGAGTGTGGTCTCTGCCATGTCAACCTGTCTTCCATCATGTTCACAGGGTGGCGGTTCAAACAGGGTTCAGGATCTCAGGTGGCTACAGCATGCTATGTGGTGGTGATCGCAAGATAGGTAGGGAGCATCAGAATCCCCTAGCGGAGAAGTGTGATAGAAAAAAAAAACGTATTTTGTGGCCAGGTGGTGGTGGCACACACCTTTAATCCCAGCATTCAGGAAGCAGAGGGAGGAGGATCTCTGTGAGTTCAAGGCTAGCCTCATCTGCAGAGCAAGTTCCAGGACAGGCTCCAAAGCTACACAGAGAAACCCTGTCTCAAAAAACAAGCAAAAAAAAAAAAAGTATTTTGTGATTCTTAAAATACTCGTAAAAATTCTCCATGCAGCCAAAAGTGATGGCAGATGTCATTAATCTCAGCACTCGGGAGGCAGAGGCGGGTGGGTCTCTGGGTGGTTTTAAGGCCTGCCTGCTGTACATAGCAAGTTCCAAGACAGCTGAGGCTTCAAAAGTGTAGTCCTGTCTCCAAATTTGTTTGGTTATCCCTGCCGTTTCATAAAACACTTGCTTAAAGGTGGGGATAGACTGTCTAATAAATGAGGGAAAAGTCAAAAGTAAATCACTGAGTGAGTGGTTCCTCTGCCCTCCCCACAGTGGGATGAGCTGCTTCTGATGGGGCTTCACAGGCTGTCACAGGGTAGAGTGAGCCTTACCTGAAGACCTCTGCAAAAGAACGAGCAGCCAGTAGCTGCGTCCTTCTTCATATGCCTGCCACTGGGAGCAGCCTGGAAATGTTGTCAGACGGCATGATGGTCAGCCAGCTCCCAGAACACAAAGCCCTCTCAGTGACCCATGAGCTTACCTCTCCCGTGAGTGTGTGTGTGAGGAATGCCAGGCTTAGCAGTGAGGGCCACGCAACAGGCATAACTAGGGCAATGGTGTTTGCAGCACCCTGCGGGTTATTGGTCATTTGGGGAACTCTGTCGTAAATGCACTGTCACCCAATGTGACCATGTACAGGCGAGTGTGTGCATGTGGTGTGTGTGTGTGTGTGTGTGTGTGTGTGTGTGAGCACTTACCCTTGTGAATGTGTGTGCAGCTGTGATAGCTTACACATTTCCCGATGCCTCACAAGCACCCAAAGAGGGCTGCTTGCAGAAGTGTGTCCTTTAAATTCTGAGTGCCGTATAACTAGCCATGGCCTTAAATCTTCATATTTACATGTTAGATGCCAAAATGGCGGATTGTAGGACTTCCTTTGAGCCCTCACTACCAAAGCAGTGATGGCGTCTGCCTCAAGGGCCCGTTGTGAGGGCGTGAGGCTGACTGTGGAAAGCGACTTGTAATGTACCTGACGTTTATAAGCATCCCACTGAGTTCCCACTGTAAGAGACTGGATTTCAGCTTAGGCTGGGGTTTTGCTGTTTGCCAAGACACAGCGATTTATGAAAATATTGTATTAATTAATTGTGTTACGATGAGGGTGTGGAGCAGAACAGAGAACTTGCAGGGGCTCAGGTATCAAACTCAGCTCCTCAGTCTTGCTGCAAGTGCCTTCACCCTCTGAGCCATTTTACCAGGCAACAAACTAATTTATGACGACTTTAATGGGATGCATGATGTTAACTTTAACTGTAGAGATTTAGACCAAGAAGCAAAACAAATAGATGAAAAACGTGTGTAACTTCCCTAAAGGGGATGTGACAGTATCCCCTTAACTATGTTTATACAGTATCCCCATATTTTATCGTTTTTCATGAAGAGGACTGAGAGGAGGTACCCCAGTGGTAAAGTGTTTGCCGTGAGCACATGAGAATCTGAGTCTGGATCCCTAGAACCCAAGTGAAATCCAGGCGTGGCAACAAACACATGTAATCCCAACAATGGCAGGGAAAAGCCAAGGGGATTCTCTGATAGCTTTGCTAGCAAGTATAATTGAATTGGCAAGCTACAAATTCAGTGAAAGCATTATCTATAATAATAATAATAATAATATAGAGAGAGAAATTGAAGAAGAAATCAGACATTGACTCTGCATACATATACACACGTGTGAACACAACTGTACATGCACTATCCACATATATAGCTTTTCATGGGGAAAAAGGAAGGGTCTGTGGCCAAACAAATTTGAAAAACAATGGTTTAAGCAAAGTTTGATAAATGTGTCTAGTCCTGGAGTTCTTCAGCCTTTTTCCTGCTAAGTCAGTAGTTGATCCAACAAGTTGAATTTAACCAGCTGCATTGTGTACACAATTCTGACTGCCACACTTAGAAACAAACCGTGTGTGTGTGTGTGTGTGTGTGTGTGTGTGTGTGTGTGTGTATGCGCGCACCCCTGATGTGTGTACATGTATATACACACATACAGACACAGTATACCAAGTCTTAGAAATAGGAACTCACCAGGAGCTGCCCGAAAAGAGAGGGCAAACCTGGAGGTTTGGTGCCCTTACTGAAGGCGACTGCTCGGTAAGGAGCCTCCAGAAATTCAGCAGTCCACATGTAGATTGGAAACTTTGTTTTCTCTGGATACTTTCTAAGACAAAAACAAATGAAGCCCACTAGAGGTGCAGTCTACTCCAAGGACTTTTACATGCTATTGTGGAGATGGGTGCGCTCCCTGGAGATACTGTAATGTGGCTGAACTTGTGGACCGGCCCTGCTGGATGGTTTCTCATAACTCTAGAATGTCTTAGGTACGTCTAAGCTGCTGAGCCCATGGGGGCTTATTCACAATAGTTCAGTGTGAGGAAACCCTGAATTGAGAACCTTGGGGTCAGGCGTCCTGTTCTGAGTACTGACTTCTGTTGCCTGTGTGAAGACCAACGGTAACAAATTAGCAACTAACTAGTGGTTTTACACAGTAATATCCTTTTAAAAATAGCACTGTCTTCTAAACTTGTACTGCGCGATGATATTACAACCTGGCTTTCTTTTTTGCCTTCTTTGTTGCAGTTGCATATGGGGCTGATGGCTTTAGGGACTTTCATGCAATAATACCCAAATCTTTCTCCCGTAAGTATATGCTTGGCTTCTAGACAACAGTAGCATGCGCTCATTTCATGGACAGTTTCATCACACGCACGCCACAACTTGCATGTTCTCTCATCAGCACCCTCCTTTACACCTGAAAAAAAAAAATGTGATGACCCAAATGGTTGCCATTCTGTTCATTAACACCACGACTGGTCACGTCACTGATCAAATAAAGAAGTACAAAGGTAAAGGGTGAGGGGGCTGTTTGATTGGTTTGGGTTTTTGGTTTTGGTTTTTGTTTTGTTTTGTTTTTGTTTTTGTTTTTGTGAGGCAGGGTCTCCCTATTAGCCCTGCTGGCCTAGAATGTTCTGTAGTGCCCAGGCTCGCCTTAAGTTTGTGATGATTTTCCTGCCTCTGCCTCCAGGAGCTGGGCACACCCATGCCCAGTTTACAAGTAAGATTTTAAGAGCCTGACATTGGAGCATAGTGAAGGAAGAGCTAATGTAGCCATAGTGGGTCTGTCCCTGAGAGTCTGTTCAGCAGGGTCCGGATTAGAGTTGTGATCAACAACTTTGTGGTCCATGCTTCCTGCCAGCATCAAACAAACCAACATCTTTTCAGATAACTTGTGCAGTTTAGTGTGACGGGAAGGGAGCACATTCTCCTTTTCTTGCTCTGGAGTGCTAACCTCAGAACAGAGAAGACAAAAACCCATGGGTTTCCAGCCCGTTCTTCCGCAGTTGCTCACTGCATGAACATGCACCCTGTTGGCATGCATGCAGGCTAGCCTGCTCTCCTCTGAGCTGTTGCACTAAAAACTAGATAGTAATTTTGTTTTTTAATGTATTGAGAGTTGAAAATGATAATTATATTTGGGCAACCAGAACGAGTATTTTCAAGAATAGTGAAGCCTTTTTTCTTTTGTTTTTTAAGTATTTAATTTAATTTTTATGTTGCATGCATTGGTGCTTTGTCTGCATTCACGGTGGGGTGAGGGTGTCAGATCCCCTGAAACTGTAGTTACTTAGAGACAGTTCTGAGCTGCCATGGGTGCTGGGAATTGAACCTGGGTCCTCTGGTAGAGGAGTCAGTGCTCTTACCTGCTGAGCCATCTCATCTCTCCAGCCTCGGCTTTTTTTCTTAATGCAAAGGAAATTAATAACCAAAGTGTTACAAGCTGTTAATCCCCTTAGGTGTTCGGTTTCCAGGCCTTATATCAGTAATTTTTTTTGGTATTATGAAGCAGCACCAGAAAACAGACTGTGTGGATTCCACTTTGAGGAGAGATTTGTGTTTGCATCGTGCATCGGTCAAACCCAAGCAAGTACTCAATCACCAAAATCACGCCCTTAGGCCAGCTTGTTGATGTTGTGCTGTTACAACTATACTTTTAATATTGAAGTTTCCGTCACAGTAAGGTCAGGTTTCTGACGTCCTGTTAGCAAATACTATTTGGGAAGTACAGGATTTGGCAGTACCCATCTATGTATGCTTAGGGTCAAAGACTGGATTGACTTATCCTGCCAGAATATAAGAAGTTTATTGGGTGTCTCTCCTACTAATAACCCTGGGGTTCAGCTGAAAGATGAGAGTTTCGGGTTTGTTTCTGCAGTGGAGGCGTGTGTGCACACATGCACGTCTTTTATGTGTGCGTAGACGTGAACGCGCCAGGGCAGGAATTCTTGTGAATTTTGAGACAATCGATCTTATTATGTTTTGGAATGTTTTGATATGTCAGGTGCTCATAATAGTAAAACAGCACATCCTAAGACGTGTTGTCATTAAAACTGCAGAAGGAGCAGAGCCCAGCGTAGCCTAATAATGTTCAAGCGGATGGCTGAGGTTTTCCAGATGGAGAAAGTACTGCCCTGTACAAATGACAGTGGGAAATTTTCTGAGCCATTGTAGATGTTTTTGTGTATTTCATGTCTAAATACTTACAAAAAATTAGTTCCTAGTACTGTCTCCTTTTCTTTCTCTTGCCCCCTCAGTATCCCTAAGTTGTAAGTACCTTTCTGGAACAAATGGATGGTTGATCCTCAAGTCTCCACCCAACAGCAACCAAACTGTTCTGGGCCAATATCGCCACCTTGTGGTCATGCTGGAGAACTGACCCAGAGGCTCACAGGCACCTCCCTTCTGGAAGTTAAAATAACCTTTATCCCACTTTGGGTCCCTAGATTTCTGAGAGACATAGAACTATGCTTGATACTGCTCCTTTTGTATAGTTTTCAGCTATTAACTGTATCTCTTTTACCTTTGACTTCACTATCCTTGAAAGCCTAAAACACCAAGTATGACTATTTCTAAAAAATATACTGAATCAGATAGAAGCCCTACTATTTTAACTATGTTTTAAGGGATACTAAGTTATAGAAATTGTCCTAACTAATGCTTATCATTTGTCTTATTTTGTTTTCTGAGACAGATGTCATGTGGCTCAGGCTAGCCTCGAGCTCCCCATGTAGTGGAGGATGACCAGGGAGGGACTCCTAACCCCTTGCCTCTGCCTCCCAAATGCTGGCATTACGGCTGTGTACCACAGACATAAAAACACCAATCTGCACATACACAAGTGTCTCAGATCATCACTTAATTACCACAGACAAATCGAAATATACCTTAAGTTCTTTTATCCCATTAGATTTTGCTATCTTTATCTCATTTTCCTTTTGACAATGCTAAGATTTCATTTATGTGGTCTAAACCCATGCTGAAAGGACAACTTCAATTGTTTTTCCATAGAAAACTCTCAGTCTTAAGTTCCAAAACTACATTTCCAGTAACTCTGAAGATGCATTCTGAAAAGAGAATGGCAATGAAAGCAGCAGAGCCTCTGCAAGCCAGAGCCTGCCAGCGTGCATTACACCTCTGCATTAAAAGTATTCAATTATTCACAAGGGTACAGCACAGTTGGCAGTGAAGCCAGACCTCTGGGCTCCCGTGGGCCTGAGTTCCTTCATTTCTCGGGATTGTTTGATTCTAACCTTTTTCTAGCCGCTAGGGGCCTTGGCACCCTTGGAGGAGCATTCTCTTAGGACAATGGGGTCACTGGGCTGGTGGGCCACCTCTAAAATACACAGTGATGAGGTTTTCATTTTTTCCCCATTTTGAGTAGCATCTGAGAAACCACATAGCTTTCATTAGGGACTTGGAAATATCCGTGTTAATATTAGCCACGCTTGGGAAACAGTTACTCTGGGCCTCGTCCACTATCTGTGAGTTGCTGGACGAGCATGGGGCAGGCAGGCTGAACCTAGAACCTTCCCAGGGAACACTTAGAGGACTCCATTCGTGTTCTATATTTAATCAGCTCAGTGCAGCACTTTTTTGAGTTTCTCATTGTTCTAAGTAGTGGAGTAAGGATAGAGTTTTCAGGATATTTGCAAGCCCATTTATTCCTTATATCCAGAGAGACTGCAGCATTTCACGAAGGAACACCACAGCTGAAATAGTTCTAACCAGAGCCCCCCATTTCCATGGGCAGCAATCTGGCAGATTTCTTCTACTTTTTAGCACCCACTTTACATTTTTATCCCCAGAGACATGAGGGCCTTCCCCATCTCTGTACAGAAAATCCCCACACTGCAGGGATCTGAAATTCCTCATGCTGACAGTGTAACTTGTGTCTCACCAAAACCTCTTCTCTCTGGCCAGCTCAGACATCACAGACTTCCCTACTCAAAACATGGCCAGGAACGTCCTCATCACAACCACCAAGCTCCCGAAGCTAGTGCACTCGGCAGTTATCATGGAACTCTTCCTATGCCGGAATAGATGTGGGGCCTTTGTGAGCCTCTGCCTTGTTGCCACGACTTACGGTCCTTGGCCACGCCCACGGTCCTTGGCCACGCCCACGGTCCTTGGCCACGCCCACAGGCATCTGCAGACACTGTATCTTTCTCAGAAACAAGAGCTTTCTGATGCTAAAAAGTCCTAATTCCTGTTCATCCCCCCTCACCATGGATCTCTCCTGACCAGCACACAGACACACCACACACGATTCTATATGACTACATATTGTATATATAAATTATATGTATGGAATTATATATGGAAATGAAAATACTACCACTCCAGTAAAAGTCAGAGCAAGTAAGTTTGAAATTCTTGCTCTGTGTCCTTAGGAGCCATCCATCCATTTCCTCCCCATACATCTCTTCCCCAAATTGTATTTGGTGCCCACACTGATCGCGGGACAACCTAGGAACAACTCTCATGCCTTTTGAGCTGCCTTTCTCTCCCGGTTCTGCCGCAGCTGGCGGCAGCGCCATCTTGCAGGGTAGACATGCCAAAGCCCTGCCTTCAGCTTCCCTAGTCACACTAGTGGTGGCCCCCGGTAGCTTTGAGGAAGCATCCTCCTCCTGACTTTTCACTGCTTCCTCCCTGACTCTGCTCTCCCTGTCCTGGGCAGCCTGCTGGAGTAGGCCTCTTCCTGGAGCCCTGAAGGTCACTGTCCCTGCACCCCGCCATCCCGGCCCTCTCTGGGAAGCACCCACATAGGCACTGGTGACATGTGCCATGGAGTTCCCCAGAGGACTGCACGGGAACTCTGCCGTTCTTCAGGCAGAGAAGTGCTTATGACTGGCATGTGCTTCTGTGCCCTGTGTGCAGTGCCCTCGGGAAAACAGGGTCACTTCCCTTTGACGAGGCTCCTTCACCTTAATGAAATCCAGCCAAGTCAGGGATCATCCCAACACGCGTTCTTCTGCAGGGTGGGCTTTTGTCCTGCTGTGGGTGCTCCTGGGTTACACTCTTTACTGCCGCCCTGTGTCGAGGCTGTCAGGGCAGGAGGACCTTACCACAACAAGCTGTGTTTTGCTCCAGGGTGTTTTTAGCTACGCTGCCTCACTTCAAAAACAAATAAAAGATGAATAATTCCAAAATAACCAGAGATTGAGGTTTTTCTTGTAGCTTTATTGTGCTCCCAAGAGAACAAGTTTGATGTAGTCTATGATCTGTCATTATAGCAAAACTTCCAGAGGCTAGGGGCATATAAAGAATAGGGGTTCATTTCGCTTGTACTTCTGGAGGAAGAGAAGTCAGGCATGGTGTCCGCAGCTGCTAAGGGTCTTCCCTTTCCATCTCTGACTTGAGGCATCGTGTGGCTAGACGGAACACTTGCTCTAACCCAGGCCTGTCTTCCTCATCTTAGAGAACACATTGTAGTTAGCTTTGCATTGCTAAGTGAAATACCCAAGGCAAGGAGTTTATAGAGAAGTTTGTATTTAGTTCCCACCCTGGGGGTTCCAGGCAAAGTGGGGGGGGGTGTTAGTGAGAGCAGTCAGTGATAATGATGGGGCGTATGTGTTAGAGCAGACCTTCCCTCAGGTGTTGGGAAGCAGAGTGACTGGGAGAACTGAGCCCCACAGCCCTTCCTGAAGGGTACCACCAGCCACGGAGACCCCAGTAGGTCCCCCCTCAAAACAGGTCCTCACCCTGGGAACCAAGCCTTTCATGAATGAGCCTGTGGGTTTTTACCCAAACCATAGCAAAGTGGGTACAGACACTGACGAGTTTGCATCTACCCCCAAAAGACACAAACGAATTCAGTGTCATTAAACACCATTATGTGAACAGCCACCTAGATAGGATCTGGCCTCGGAGGGAAGTTTGGAAGGGCTGCTGATATGCAAAGTCTCAGGTCAGAATCTTGTAGGGAAAAGTGTTTTTGAGAATTCCCCGTTTCAGAATTTCTCAGTGTTACTCATGGGCTGAGTCCAGCCTCGGAGTACATTCTCACTTCCAGAGCCCATGTCTGGTCTGTACAACACATTCCATGATCCGCCAAGAAGTCATTTCAGCTAAGAGCTGTTGGGGAAATGTTGGCCAGAAGTGGGGACGGGGGGACCGCTGTACTCCATTTGCCTCCCAGTTCTGCCACGTTCTAGCTGTGTGACCACAGCAAGCTCATTGGCCGAACTGTACCTCAACCACGACAAAGTACAGGATGGTAATGTCATGCCCTTGTTGGGTTCATGTGAGGTTAAATGGCAAGTACCATTAAGTTACCAGAGGTCTTGTACAAGGTAAGTGTCAAAAACACTGGTGGTGTCAGACCAAGCCCTGTGCTGTGGAACCACTGTGTGTGGAATAGGGTGTCACTTGCTGCGCCCCAGCCCCAATCCCAGTTAGCTCTCCTCAGTTCTCTCAGGCTGGCCAGGGTCATGGTAGTTCCTTACTTAAGTTTACTTAAAGATGAGTAATCAAGCGTAGAGAAGTTGAGATGGCCTGCTTAAGATCTCTGTACCCTTAAATAAAGGAGCCACGCCTCTGGCCAGCCACTTACTTTTTGGTGTCTGGACCTCAAATGTCCCATCCCAGTCAAGAGGAATTTGGTGAACAGAATCATCTAGCAGTCTGTGAACCAGGTGGGCTACTTAAACTGAATAGTCTCCATTGTAAAGTGACTTTGGATCTCCAAGAGTCCATTCAAACACAGGGCTGGAATCACCCCAGGATCTTGGAACCAGCAGGACTGAGGAATCCAAGAGTACACACTTCAGGCATTTGGGTCACATATTCATGCTCTTTGGTCATGTCCCAGCTAATTCTCTGGGACCAAACTGAGAATTCTTGACTGAAAATGCTGTTCAAAAATTATGTCAGATGGATCAATGGCTAATTGTTCTTGATGCTCTAGCGGAGGACCCAGACTTAGTTCTTAGAAAGCATTCACATTTGGTGGTTCACAACAACCCATGAGCTCTAGTTCCAGAGGGTCTGGCCCGCAAGCCTGCACGTGGTGTGCATATGTAGATACAGGTACTCCCCCCACAAACATCAAATAAAAACAAGAAATTGTCTCTTCATTGTATCAGATAATCCCCACACTGCTGGTTTTACTCAGAAAAACATACCTTGCTAACTCTCATGAGTCTGAAAAGCAGAGAGAAATGATAACTTCTGATATTCTGATATCACTACAGTCTCTACTGAACATTGCATGTGGGGTTCATCACTGTACTGTCAGTGTCGCAGGAGAAGATATGTGCAATGTGTTATGTTTTCTTTTGAAAAAGATAGGTGAATAATAAAACTCATACAGGGATGCAGAGTCAGAAGTGAGTTTTATCTTCGTTAATCTACAAACATCTTTCTGTTTGAAAAACTCACCTGTTGCATCCAAAGACCATTCCAGCCAACCCCTCAGCAGGGGAAGGAGCTGTAAGAGGAACAGCTCTGCCTTGGGGTGCAGGTTGAGGTGTGCCACTGTAAGATGAGAAGGAAGCCAAATGCAAAGAAAGTGGAACTTGGAAAAAAAGGAGTTGAGAATCAGAGTTCCAAACAGCAAAGACTTGTTCCAGATTCATTGTGCATACTTGTAAGAGGGCTTTTCAGTCCTGAAAACCAGCTTCTTATGAGTTGTGCTAATACTCACCAGACCTAGGGAGGTTGACCAGATAGCCCATCACTACCTATGGCCAGGTGTTCGTGTGAGCACACAGGATTTGACTCCAGGTTCCCTGCCACCCCGAGAGGTCCCACAAGCCCACAGTGAGGTATAATCTCTTTAAATAGCCTCTTCCTGCTTTACCAGATACTCCCTGTCCAGACCTGCCTGTGTCCCTGCCCCTTCGGTGCAGCCCATAGGTGCCATCCATGCTCTCTGGAGGGCTAGCGCCTGCAAAACCAGGCCGCCTGCCCTGAGGTACGGGCTCAGAACTACTCCAAAGCGCCGATTGTCTATTTGATGACTTGCTGCTGCTGCTGTGTTGCTGTCTTGTGACTTATTATTTTTGCCATGACACTGAGTGGGCCTCCTGTGTTATCTCTTTCAGCCAGTAATGTTAAAGTAGAGACTCAGAGTGATGAAGAGAATGGGCGTGCCTGTGAAATGAATGGGGAAGAATGTGCAGAGGATTTACGAATGCTTGATGCCTCAGGAGAGAAAATGAATGGCTCCCACAGGGACCAAGGCAGCTCGGCGCTGTCGGGAGTTGGAGGCATTCGACTTCCTAACGGCAAACTAAAGTGTGATATCTGTGGGATCATTTGCATCGGGCCCAATGTGCTCATGGTTCACAAAAGAAGTCATACTGGTAAGGCCCGGCGTAGTTTTCCTTTAGTATCTCAAGAGGTCCTGTGGGTGCTGACGGCGCAAACTCTACTGTCACGCGTGGGGATTGCAGCTTAGTAGGAGAGCTCCTGCCTAGCACACACGAGTTCCTGGGTTCAGAGTGCAAAAGAGGGTGTGGAGGGGGATGTGGTCTGGAAGCATGTTTCCAGTTGACCAGCAAGGCAACCGTTGCACACAGTTGGCTCCCAAGTTGTACTGAGAGGTACAGCTTCCTTATTCTAGGACAGCATCTGAAAGGTCTGCTCAGCAGGCACCTAGCCAAGCCCGGAAATGAAAGAGCAGGTTGACAGCCTATGCACGCCATCTTCTGAGGGCCCGATAGACTCACCAAAAAAAATCTCAGCCCCAACGTTGACTTTCATGAATAAAGCGTCCATCCTTCGCAAGATAAGATCAAGAGCTACAGATGCACCAAAACTGGCGTCACAAATTCCCCATTGAGAGACTATAATAAAACGCCTGTTTTGATCTTGTTGACACTCAGGGCTCTCTGTGAGTGTCATAGCGAGAGGTGGCCTAGCAGCAAAACAGTTTTCAGAAAGGGTGCCAGGGAGCTTGAGATGGTTCGCCCTGCAATCTCCGTCTCTGGGGTCAGCCGGCTGGAGTGTCCCGAGTTTTCACCCCAGAGCCATCAGGAGCTGTCTGCCAAAATCCTCTTGTCGGGGAAGGTTTGCAGGAGGCTTTGGGAGAGGCGCTTGAAGTAATCAGCCCCAAAGTGAGTATATGTGGACTATCCAGTGTTCAGGAGCTGTGCCTATTCCTGCCTTTGGCAGTGTAGGAAGCCTCCCAGCTTCTGTTGGCTGCGCTACCCCTGTTCCACCTCTCTCGTAGAAGCAATCATGTTTATGAACAGTCAGCTTCTTCTTCAACATTGCTGTCATACCACCATCACTAAGGGCACTAAAGAGGCTTCGTATAAAATATTGATGGCCTTCGGTGCATTTGTTTTGCATGCCACAAGGTTTCTTTAGCACTAAAGAGAAACATCACTCTTCCTTCCAGGGAGGTTTCTTGAAAGGTAGGTGTCATCTGGTGGGTTCACCAGCTCTCATGGCCACAGAAATCTTACCTGTAGAGTTAGACACCCTGGGCCATCGCTACCTATGCCCTGGCTTCTTTGGGGCATGAGATGGCTGGCATCTGCTACTGCAGTATCCAGGAGGAAGAAAAGACAAAAGCAAAAATAAACGATAGCATGTTTATAGAGTGAGGACGACGGCTTGAAAATGGCAGCCTTGTCTTTGTCTTACATGAGGCCCAACAAGGGTGGATTATCCAAAAGTAAGCAAGGGCTAGAACATACCTGGAGCAGAAATGTTGTCCTCAAGGTATGGAGGTATTTCCAAGGTTGTGGTTTTATATATGAGGAGAAACCACTTCCAAAATTATATAGTCCATGTATAATATATGTGTAAATGATGCATAAGATGATTTTGTAGAAGATGTTCTTCAACCAAAGTTTAGCTTTAAAATTAGGTAAATTTGACTTTTCTGAAGGAACCCCTCAGTCCTCAAATTACCCATTGAAACAGACCTGGTACCCCCAGCCCTGAGAAAAGCAAATGTGAGGGTAATCTTGCCCTTGCCTTCTGAAGTAAGGTGGAAATTAGCAAGGAGGCAAACTACTGTGACAGACACTGACAATCTAAGGCCTGTAGTAACACATTCCTGAAGAGGACAGACACTCAGCC